GCAGCCAATCTATGTATCTCTATCATTATGTTTCTATCTCTCTATCCCTTTCTTCTCTTTTCTGTCTAAATATTAATAAAAACATTTAAAAATAATACAGAAATAAAATCATATTTCACATATTAAATATATACAATTATATTCATCAAAAAGAGTTATGTCCATTTTTCAACCTCATATAGTTATTTTAAATGCAAGATTTTATTTTTTGGTATGTATTGTGAAAGTAAATTGATGCTTTCCAACCAGACAATAATAGCTGTACACGTTACAGATTTCAAATATCATAATAGACATTGTACTTTTAACCACAGAAAGGCTGCCCAGGGTAACTATGTATCTATTAATCTATCTGCCAGCCTTCCTGTCTGTCTATCCACATGCACATTTGACTGGACTTACAGCAATTTAATATTAGCAGTGGTTACTTGAATCAGTGAGAAAATTTTCAGTCTCTTAACAATTTTTTAAAAGGCGTGGACTCGATGTGTGTCTTCTGGCTAATAGTGTTTGAATATGTCACTGCACAAGTGAGAATCCCTGTTAGAACCCGGTAGGAATTGCTCTTCTCAGGAAGGGAATGTTTCCTGTCTCAGTGTTACTTTGCCTCCGGAATTCCTGGTTCACATGCAGGACGGAGCTCTAAAGCTTTTAGAGGCCTCTCTCCTAAGGCTTTCTGCAGGCTCTCAGCTCCTGGAGGGTTTCAGTGGGGACTGCCCTTTGCTCCTCCAATTTGTCCTAGCGTGCAATCCTTTCAGCACTGCTGCTGGTAGCACAACATGCTTTCTGTCAGCTAGGTCCCCAGAGCAATGGCAGGAACGTAAATCAACACTAGGTTCTGTAGGTCTATAAAGAAGGAATAATGAAGACATCCTTTATGGAGACAGAGAGGGAGAGTGAGAAGACTGTACTCTAAATAGTACAGGATTTACATAACTATCCAATTCCTGTGTTATTCAATATGATATTAAACAATCAAATGTTAAACTTTCAGGTAGAAGCATGAGGAATGGTGCTGGGATGATAAAATATTCATTAAGTTGTTTACTCGTGTGTTTAAAAATTTTTATTGTATGGTTTATTACATGCCAGGAGCCCTTCTACGTAGCTGAGTCCGTGATAAACAGAATAGGTAATGTTCCTGCCCACTTGTATTCTAGTGGGGGAGACAAACAATAAACATGAACAAACTCTGGTGACAAAAGGTAGCGATAACGTACTGTGAAGAGTAATAACATATTGGCCACTAGATGGAACCCATTGCTTTCTTCATTTCTTCATTTCCTTACCAATCAACTCGGAGACACTGTGAGCATGACACACTGTTAATTAAATAGTTTTTTTGGGGCCAGGTGATAGGCACTGTCTCTCTATCTCTCCCTCCCAAATTGGATTTCTTTTTTCCACTAATTTACTGATAAAGGAAATATGGTTAAAACATACTAAGGAGCCATCTGAGACATGTTGGGGTAGTGGGATTAGAGAAACTCCTTCCTAAATCAGTAATCCTCTCCTTTCAATTTCTTGGGTATTTAGTTTTCTGTATTATTTAATCTCTGTCTTCACCACTAGACTATGAGCTCCCTAAGAGAGGGACTATAACTATATTCCCACTCCTTGGCAGAATGTGATAGGTACTCAACCAATGTTTCTTGAATGAATGATCCCTGTAGACCAAGCAATGGCTGCTTTTCATGAAGCCTCATCTAACTCCCTAGGGATTCTGTTTTGTACATAGTTTTTGGGGAAAAAATCTCTGAGTAAGTTTTCCTGTCTTGTGTTTGATGAAATCCTGTCTGTTAAAAAACTCACAGTGAGTGGGAAGGGTAGGATGTGTGTGTGTATGTGTGTGTGTAGTAGGCATATTATGTGGCACTGAGTTCTGAGCCATATATTTTCCTCTTTCTGTTTGGATAAAAGCCTAACACACAATGGATCCATGTATTTAATTTATCTTTATTGTTGATAGTATTACAGCTAAACCCCTTTTTTCTGATACCCCCCATACCCTTTTGCCCCCCC